CCCCCCCCCCCCCCTTCCTCTTTTTGACAGGCAAAGCAATCGAAGGAGCTGCTCGTATTTCTTTTAATGCTTTTACTTAGATTACATGATTTATCTGTTATGTTGATTAAAATGAGGTTTACATGGTGCCTGGTGCCGAGAAGTTTAGCTAGAGCTATGCCTAACGCGATGAGCAACTGTCCATCACGACCTCTTTGTTCTTCTGAAAAGAATACCAAGCCAATTAAAATATGCATCATCGTCCAGCTTACTTTTTCTTTAGTTTAGTTAGGAGTGTAACATAAGTCATAGTGGATCATTTTTTTCTCATGCTTGAATCTAATTTTATTCTTTTGTCAGTTTGTACCAAAAAAAAATGCAGAATGTAAACTATGAAGCATGTATAATGTATAATATATAATGAATTACATTTGCAGTTTTATTTAGTCTTGTATTTATTTATTTTTGTTGATTTGGCCCCCTAAGTAGAAAATTATACATTAATAATAATGTTGATTTTATCGCCCTCATTAATGGAACACAAGGACGTGACACTAACGGTGATTACCTAGCACTAAAGTGGATGTTAGGTGACTTTACTGCAAGGAGAAATAAATGGCATCAACTGAAGTTGATACTTTTATTTGGTTTATTTTGATTTTGCTTTCAATTTACTTTCAATTTAGTCTCGTTCATAAACAAACCTCAAACCTCCTCTACACCATCTTACCACCATGCCGACATGATATAGTAATGGAACACAACTATCATGCTTTCCTATAGCCAACCACCACAAACTCTAACTCCAACAATTTGAAAGGCTTGTGGATATATTGTTGGCGTTTCGGCTCATGGTGTAGCGATGTAATTCTTTAACTGCATTTAGTTCGTGCATGGTGCTGACATCTGGTTATAGCTGGTCTCTTATTAGGTTCTGTTTGTTTCTCTGTTGGTATGCATCTCAAAGCTTCCAAACGGATAAGCAACAATTTGATGCTGTAGGCTTAATGTCTGTTCAAATTGGATACTACATACACCTAATGGTGACATCAGCTAGTTGGTAGGTAGCATCTTCAATCTGTCTATTTTTTCTTTTTTGATTTGATTCTTGAAAAGCGACGTCCTCATCATGGTTTGTTTGCTAGCAAGTTGGAGCCAACAGTGACTAGTACTATATGACAGATGACTTGGTGAGAATTCACACTCTAGTTGTCACTGGCTACTAGCTAGTCAAGTTGTCTAGTTATGGTGGCTATTGGGTGTTGGTTGCTTGGTGAATAGTTGGTGGGTAGAGTTAAGAATGAAAAAGGAGTCTTATCATTATTTTTTGGTAGTGGGGACCCTTATCATTTGTTATTGGCCAAATGGAAAATCAAATAAAAAGAAAGTGACAAAGTTAAAATTTGAAATCAAAAGCAAGGAACCAAATTGAAGTATTTCCTTAATCTAACGATGTTTCTGCCTTTCCTTATCCAACCAAGTCATCTCGCTGTCTCCACGTCCAATTCAAATCATCGTTATCATTGCAATCTCATAACTTTTCCATTAGAGCAATTTTATCCTTGCAAAGTTGTAATTGAGAAGTGTTCGTTATAATGATTAAATATTCTTGCATATTGCTTTAAATGTATAGATCAACGCGTGATTGTTTTGAATGAAATTAGACTAATATTCTTTAATCAAGATTTTAGATTTAAATTTTATGAGTAATTTTTTTTATTGAGAAATTCTATTATAGTTGATCAGACAGAATTTTTAATAGATATTAATTATAAAAAAATTAATAAATACTATATACTAATAACATAATAACAATGAAAATAAACAATGTGCAACTTAGTGCGGTAACATAGCATAATTTAAAAGCATGCATTAAGGTATTATTGTTGTAAAGTTGCTGAGAAACTTCAGATTCCTTAAATTACCTTTTCAATTAAGCAACCCAGGCATATATGCATTATTGCAAGGTTAGAGCAACCTGACATAGAATTTTGATTGTGCAATCAATTCTACAAAACACTCTTTGCATGTTGGAAAATATGAGTCCAGAATTGTACGTTTTGCTCCTAATAATAGAAAGATTACAATATAAATAAAAGTTTTAAAAAATAAAACATGCAAGGTAAACTCATGGAGTTAATTTAATGAATTTTGTAGAATTGAATCCAAGGGGAATATTTTTTTTACTCAATATCCAAGGTAGGGATGGCAACGGGGTCCCATGGGGGCGGGTAATAGTAAATCCGGCCCCGCCTTGCCGAATGAAAATTAGTCTTATACCCACCTATATCTGCGCGGGTATCCATTAAACGAGTATCCATGAATTTCTTAAATACCCACGGATATCCATGGATATTTATAAATCTTTTAAGAAATTAAAAAAATTTATATTATAAATAATTTTAAGTTTATATTTAATGTCATTAAAATATTAAAAATAAAAATTCAGTGTTAATTTTGAACTTATATTTAACATTAATTTTGTTGAAATAATAATAAAAATGCAATATAATTAATAACTTAAAATACATCAATCTCACAAGTAAGTTAAAGTCTCATCACAAAGTTACAATAATTCAATCTCATAATTTCAAACGAAAGTAAATAACTTAAAATACATAAATCTTATTGGTTCAATCAAAGCTAGAAAATTAATCAAATTACATCTAACATAATTATATAACATGCTTAACACATGTTGATAACTTCATCAACCTCACTTTTGTAAGAAAATAAGATGAGAGAGTATAGTTTTAGGATTACATGGTACAAGGATAATTAGGATATTTAAGAAATATTATTAAATAGGTACTCGCGGGTATGAATATCATCATACCCGCCCCTGCCCCATTTATAAACGGGTAAAAAATTATCCGTCTCCATTATCTACGGATACCCAATTAGCCTATCTATTTATTATCCTAGCGAATTTTACCCGCAGATACCCGTGAGTGTGTGAGTATTTTTGCCATCCTAATCCAAGGGGCTTGCTTAATTATGTAAAGTAAAAATAAATTATGTCAAATGATGAGATCACAAATAACTATTATCAACTTTTGTGGGTTTCATTACCATTATTAACATATATAACCGTATGTGTTGTTGTATGGTGAGAGAAGAGAAAAGTTTGAAATTCGAATTGAAAGAAAAACATTTTTTGAATTTTTGTTTTTATAAGTCAATATTTGTCTTTATTTTTTTTCCCCACTTTCTTCCTAACTATACAAAAAAAAATAATGTTATTATTCAAAAAGAACAAATTGTCAAAAAGAATTTTGTTAAATAAAATAAGAAACTAAATTACCTTTTGAAATATAAATAAAAATTGTCCCCAAGATACAAACCAGAAAGGTCTCATATGTAATAAGTTGCAAGTTTGAATCTCTTTAGAATGAGATACATATAAATACTTTGAACTAGGACATTATCCTTTCTAGAAGTTTGTATAAGTTTTTTGTTCAAATCAATATCATTATTATAGATAAAATGGTAAAGTGATTAAAGTGGACATCTCATTTGATATTTTTTAATTTTTTAATAATATTATTAAGATGTGATTGTGAATATATACATATTTAATATAAAAAAAAGTTATTAAAATTTTAATTTCTCATCTAATATTTGTTTTTATTTTATTTCTTTTGCAACTACCTTAATATTAAATATTAAATATAAATTTCTTATTATATATTATCTATTGTTAAAATATAAATTTTGATTAAAGAATCATTGTTAAGAAATTTCTTATTTTAAATATTAAATAACTACATAGAACAAAGAATTAGACAGAAACAAAATATAAACACATTAATTATTTAATAGGTTCTGCATAAGCTATCTACGTAAGTATTTTTTTTCCTTAACAAGAACTATATATTTCCTCCATTTCAATTTATTTATCACTTTGGGGTATCAATTTTGTTTCAAAATATATTTAAAAACCTATGAAAATAATAATTATTTTTTTCACAAAATATTCTTAAAAACAAATTGGCTCACTGTCTCATCTAAATACATTTTTTTATTGTATAGCCATGGATACCTCGCATAAAATACTATATACATTTTATTAAACACTTTAAATTACTTTTAAAAAAATAATTACATTGAAGGACCGTGTTTCTGATATAATAATAATTTCTTATTATCAACTAATCATACTGAAATTAAATTTAGTCTTCTTAAATATGATTACAATTTGTGTCTCGTAATAAAAAAAAATTAAAAAAAGAAACTTTATTAAAAGTGATCGATCTAATTTTTTAATAAAAATTAATCATTAATAAAATTAATGAATATCCCATAATCTTAATATGATTATTCAAACAATACTTCATTTTTTAATAAAAGCTTTCTGTTTTAAACTTTTATTATGTCTATATGAGATCATAGTAAATAATAAATAACCTACTTTTTTAAATGTGAGTATTTTAATAAAAAATAAAATAATTTATATTATTATTTAATCACAAATTATCATATATAATAAATTTACTAATTTTTGTAATAATTATTTTAAAAATTATACTAAATTTTTTATTAATCGATAATGTAGCATTTTAAGTTTTTCAAAAAAAAATTAATAAAAGATGTTTTAATCAATTAATTAGGTCTTACAAAATAATATAGAGGATTTTTAAATAGTTATATATGTTTTTAGTTAATTAAAGAAAACTTTTGAAAATATAATATTATTTATATGAATTATTTTGGAGATTCATGTATTTTAATTATATTTTACTATTTTTTGATGGAGAAAATAATGTTTTAATTATTAAAAATGAGGGAATGAGGGTTTTAGAGAAATAAGTTAGTTTTACGCTTTTCTAAACTCACACTCTCTTTTCTCTCTGGCCCAAGAGCTTCCTGGGGAGCATGTAAAGGCCATTGGAGTGCATCTTAATATCAAAGATCCTTATCCTTCTTCTAACATCTATCAAGGTAAGAGAAGAAGTGAGAGTTCTCTTTATGTTGGTAGTCCTTTATTTTTATGTGTTTTGTGGGAGAAATATTGAATTTGATTTGTATGTTAAGAATCTGTACTTTGTATGATTCATATGTGCCTTATAGATGATAATTGCATTATGTGTGTAACGAATTTCACTTGAATTGATTTATTTGTGAATTTGTAGGTGCCTTTAGTGCTCGGAGAAACCCTTGGTTACATGTGAAAATTTGATGTTATTTGAAGAATGTATGTGAGTTGGTATGTGATTTGAGAAATCGATGGCTTAATAGAGTAGTTTTGGGCTTTTAATCTATGATTTTACTTATTAAATGATCACTTTTGGTGAAATATGATGATATGATAAGATAAGAGGTTCAAATAATTGAGGTTCGTATCTACCAAATCATGTCACAAGTGTGATGGGTGAGTCATGAGTGTGATAGGTGAGTCACAATTTCAACATTTCTTGATCTTGACCTCTTTTTAGGGACATTAAAC